GGCTCTGTAGGTTAAGCATCCAACTCTTGATTTTGGCTCAGGTCATGATGTCACGGGTGTGACATTGGACCCCAATTTTCTCTCTTTCCCTCTCTCCATGCCCTTCCCCTGCTCCTGCTCTCTCTCTCCCTCTCTTTCTCAAAATAAATAAACTCTAAGAAAAAGTCACATTCAAAGAAAACACATATCCCACTCCATTTATTAGCTTCCTTCAAGAGACCATTCTAAGGACTTCGCAAAGCCTGCCACACAAAAAGTCCCTCCTAGATCCTTTTTAGATCTCTCTTCCCACCCCCAAACTTTCACTCACAGCAGCAGCTAAATATCCTTCTCTGTATCACAAATACATATTTCCTCACCACGATTATGCCCCACTTTCCATTCACCCCTTCCTGTTTTACTCAAGATTGCAGTATCCCCGCCCACGGAACACCTAACGGCAGGGGACCCACCGCTCCTCCCCACCATGCAAAGTGCATGCACATCTTTTGGAAGTTCAGCTTCTCTCCCACTCTGATTACATTTCATGAGACTATCATCCCCCTTTATTCTGGTGAAGGGTGGTAACATTCTTTGGCGCGCGTGTGTGTGTGAGAGATAGAGAAAGAAATGGCAATAAAATAAGGTAAGATGCTAACATATTTACACAGCATAGTCATCAGAGTAAATCTAATGGACCTGTATGAATTTTATATCCTGAGAACAGAGAATACACTCTTCTCAAATGCCCATGGCTAATTCATAGAACTTGACCATATACTGGCTCACAAAGAAAGCATCCATCAGTGGCTTCAACAAAGGGAGTACTGCAAACAACACCTTCTGATCCCATCGCAGCACAACTAGAGTTTACGAACAAAAACAGAGCACAAAAAGACCCTTCTACATAGATAGTAAACGTCCTGTTAACTCCTCGGGTAAAGGGAAAATAGAAACTGAAATTACAATAATAATAATAATAATAATAATAATAATAATAATAATAATGACGACACTGGTTTCCAGTTCTAGTCAGAATAGGAAAAACATATCCCACCCCATTTTTTCCTATGAATTACAACTAAAATCCCTGGACAAAAGCCATGAGACTGTGAATGGTGGGAAAAAAAGGAGGAAGAAAGGCTAGAACCTCAGGACTAGAGGCACAGCTGGGTCTTTACTCTCCTATATATTCCAGCCTGTGTTCCATACTTTGGAAGTACTACCAGGGACAGGAAAGAAATCTTGAAGGAAAGCCTGTTCTCTCCAGCCAGAGGTCTAGGAAGAGGGTAGCCCGGCAGGACAGAGCCCTTTAGACCGCACCCAAACAATTACAGGCAGCTGTCATGAAGGAAGCAACACCCCAACTCCCCCTCACCTTGGCCTGGTTGCGGCAGAGACAGTGGGGTGAAACCACGGTGAGCGTCCCCACCCTACCTCAAGCAAACAGTGTCACACGTCTGGCCACTGGTGGTGGCTGCAGCCACAGAAAATAGAACCCTACTGCCTCCCATTTACACTGAGAACACAGTCTTTGAGGTGGGATCTTGTCCACTCTGACCACCCTGAAGGAAGGAAAATGAAGAATACAATAACCAACAAACAAGTAGCCCCCTCCTCTCCCAACTAGACAGTTTGAGAAGGATCACACAAAGGCAAGAGATGGAAAAAAAAGATCCTTCAAATTTGTATATGAAGCCCCAGGCACACACCCCTGTTCCACTCATCTGTAAAACCAAACAGAATCAATAAAGCAAACACTGGGAGAAGGGAATTGTGGTGCAGTTTCACACAGGCCTCTGGATAATGCAGAAGTGGGGCAGATCAGAATAGTACCGCAAAGATTGTGGCAACTAAATTGACACTAAAACCCCAGCCTACCAAAGGGAGCCAGGACATGCTTTGTAATAATAAATGTGTTAAATCCTACCAAAGAGAAGACTGAAATGAAACCAGAGTCTCCTTACAAAATACTCAAAATGTTTAGGATACAATTCAAAATTCATCATCATACCAAAATCCACGAAAAATCCCAATTCACATGACAGAGGATAATTAACAGATTTCAACATCAAGATGATACAGGTGTTGGAATTATCTAACGACGATTTTATTTTTATTTATTTTTTTAAAATATTTTTTACATTTATTTATTTTTGAGAGACAGAGAGAGAGAGTGTGTGAGTGGGGAGGGACAGAGAGAGGGAGACACAAATCCAAAGCAGGCTCCAGGCTCTGAGCTGTCAGCACAGAGCTCGACGCGAGGCTCGAACTCACGAGCTGTGAGATCATGACCTGAGTCGAAGTCAGATGCTTAACCAAATGAGCCAACCAGGTGCCCCAAATGAGGATTTTAAAACAGCTATTAGAAGATGCTACAACTAGCAGTTTCAAACACTTTTGTAAGAAATAGAAGACACACAAACAAATAAATGCAGATACACTGGAAAATCCAGATGAATTGGATAATTCCCTAAAGAAATACAGATTACTAAAACCAGATTAGAGCTGAGAAACTTAAACAGACCAATTTCCATTAGAGAAATAGAGAGCATTATGAAGGAACGACTCCACAAAAAAACATCAGGTACAGATGGTTTGACAGTAGAATTCTACCAAACTTCCAAAGACCAGAGTCCCAGTGCTCATTATTCTAGAACACTGAAAGGAAAGAGAACATCCCAATTCCTTCCCTGAAGCAAGTGTAACATTGATACCTAAACCAGAGGAAGACAGTAGGGCAGGGAGGGGACACATACCACACATCACAAATATTCATGCAGAAATTCTAAACAAAATATTAGCAAATAGAATCCAATACGACATTAAGAAAACAATACGCCAATACCTTGTGGAATTTATTACAGAAAGGCAAGGTTAACTCAATATTAGGAACTTTACTGCTATAATATACCATATTAATAAATCTAAGGAAAAAATATTATGATGATCCGGACATATGATGAAAAATCCACTGACAAAACTTAATACCCATTCGTGATTAAAAAAAAAATAATTTAAATGCTGAAGAAAAAAGATGTCCACTATCTCTGCTACTACTCAGCTTTGCACTGAAGGTAGGAGCAAATTCCCTTAGACAAGAGAACTCAATCAGAAGAATAAGAGTGGATGAAAAAAATAAGTTAAATCACCTGTATTTTCTAGATGCTATAATAGTATAGCTGGACAGCCATAGGTAATCAGTAATAAGAGCAAATCAAACAATTAAAGAATTCAATGAAGTAGCAGGCATAAAAGAAACATTAAAGAACGTCCGCAGTTACATCCAAATACCTATGGAAAATCCGAATATGATAAAGGCAGCATCTCAAATCAATGGAATAAAGACGGACATTTAAATAAGCAACTCTGGGACAACTGGGTTGTCATGTAGAAAAAGATAAAATTAGATCCATATCTCACCCCATCTATAGGAAAAAACGCCAAATGGATAGGGATCTAAATGTAAAAAACTGAATCATGGAAGTACTAGAAAAAAAAAATACTGGTCAATTCCTCTTTAACTTCTGTGAAGAAAAAGGCTTTGTAAAAATCCAGGGACAGTAAAAGAAAAGATTAATAAATGTGACTAAAAAATTAAAATTAATGCGTGTCAGAAAATACCAAAAACCAAGTCAAGCTATAGGAACATTAACAACATACACCACAGACAAAAGGTCTATACTTCGAATATGTAAAGAAGTCTTAAATGTGAAGGGCAAAGGACCAAAAACTTGATGGAAAAAATGTAGAAAAGTCGTGACCAGGCAATTCAAACACAAAAGAAATTTTTTTAATGGACTTTTTTTTAAGAGAAATTTTAGGTTCACGGCAAAACTGAGTGGCAGGTAACCAGATTTCCCATATACACCCTGCCCCCATTCATAGCTAGCTTCCCACACAAACAATGTCTCCCGCCTAAGTGGTACATTTGTTACATCTGATGAACCTACAATGACACATCATAATCACCCAACGTTTATAGTCGATATTAGAGTTCACTCTTATTATATATTCTGTGGGTTGGACAAATGTATAATGACACATAGCCACTAGTATATAGTATTATATGGAGCAGTTTCACTGCCCTAAAAATCCTGTGCTCTGCCTACACATCCCTCCCCTCCTCCCCACTCCTATTTTAAATGTTTATGCAATTAAAAATACGGGATTTCCTCCACTGCTCTTATGTTTAAAAATTCCCTCTGTGCTCTGAGATTCAATATCTACTTGCCCATGTCTTCTGCTAGTTTGTTTTGTTTCTTTCTGTTATTTTTTGGTATGAAATGAAGATCTACTATTTAATAATAATAATAATGATCAATTATCCTACTAGTATTCCTTTAAACTCTCTTCCCTCCAAATCTGGGTGAGTCCCATTCATCACAAGCTAAGTTTTAACTATGTAAGTCTATTTCTGCATTCTATTCCATGCCATTCATCTGTCCATTTCTTTGCAGTGAATTAAAACTGTTTCATGAAAGTGTGTTTCAGTATTTGCTAAGGCAAGTCCCTCCAATTGCTTCTCGCTTTCAAAACAGTCTTGACTATTTTCAATTCACTTAAATTTTCTACAGAATTTTAGAATTATTTTTCAAGAAAAACATCCCACTACAGAGTATAGTGGAATTAATGTCTGTGATTTTAAAAATACATGGAGTCATGTGTTCCTTAAGGAGACTAGCCTTGTTTCTCTGATGACAGCCACTCCTGGAAGACTAGTATGAAGGCTCCTCAGGACACTTCCATCAGCAGCTTGGAAGGAGCAGGAAAGAACATACAAGGGATGTAGAAAGAGATAGAGACAGAACTCAAACAAGCAGAGACCTGACTTCCTTCAAAGGGCCAGACTATTCAGTCACTCCATGTTTACCTGAATATGAATCAGACAGAAAACAAATTTGGTCTCGTGAAACATCCAAAAACAGTGTCACTGGGGTACAGTCTGCAGAAGAACAGAGGTGGCATCTTCGTAGGTTAGATAACCAAATCCCATCTGCTTTTACATTATTCTACTCCAGATCCTGGGACCAAGGCTGTAAGTGACGGAGAACAATTCACCCAAACGTGTCAGATCATCCATCACTCATAAGAGTCCAAGTCTTGGGAGAATTTTCTTTTACCCTTAAGGTTGGGTAAGTTTCACTGTTGGGCCTGCCTTCAATTCAGTTCATACCACGTAAATGGCATGCAGTTTCTGTTTTCATAACTTGGGAAATACTACACAACTGTAATTGTTTCGTAATGCAATTCTTTATAGTGACCCATTTAGAAACACAGGTCAAACTTGTTCTTTTCTGGGTTCCTTGGCCTGGAATATGTTCCCAAGTCCCAAAGCATGACATGGTGAGACGACAGAATTCAAGTTGCCAAAAATTAGTAAAATAACTTAGTGCATGTTAGTAAAATAACTTAGTGCATGTTCCAAGGACACGATCTTTAACAAAGGAAGCTAGTTATAGTCTTCTTTGCCCAATGGCCACTAATTTCTGTCTCACTAAACCCAAATCAAAGCTATCACTAACACCTGCAACTCTCCTAGCTCCAGCCCCTAACCTTTCTCTGACTTTCTGTTATTTAAAGTACTCTACATAAATGCTTTATATTCCCTTAACACCTTAACAACAACTACTTAGGGGCGCCTGGGTGGCGCAGTCGGTTACGCGTCCGACTTCAGCCAGGTCACGATCTCGCGGTCCGTGAGTTCGAGCCCCGCGTCAGGCTCTGGACTGATGGCTCGGAGCCTGGAGCCTGTTTCCGATTCTGTGTCTCCCTCTCTCTCTGCCCCTCCCCCGTTCATGCTCTGTCTCTCTCTGTCCCAAAAATAAATAAAAATTGTTGAAAAAAAAAAAAACAACTACTTAAAATGTGGACAAGTAATAATCCTTTAGGTCAAGCAGCTGATGAATTGGAACATTACCAAATTTAGTTTTGGCTGTAACTTCCCCAGGATTATTTTAAAATAAAATTATTTATGAGTGGGCCTTTTTTAGACCCACTAATAAATTTGAAGTGGATTAGTTACCACTTTTTTCAATATTGAAACTAGACTATCTCAAACATAAGCAGCAAGAAAGTTTGTAGCACAAAGCTACATAGAGAAGACATAAAGATTTCAACAATTCCCTGTAGCAGTTCAGAAAAATGATGTCTATATTTTGATAATGAAAAGCAGAGATTTGTGTGATATTGGTTAGGGTGCTCAATCTCTTTCTGGAGTTGGACTTTTATCCATCCTTTTATTCCTTTCCATAATTACAAAGTGAGTCTGTGGCTAACCTCATCCACCCAATTCCCAAGGTTATAGAATATGTTTAACACTAGACCATAGTAGCTGGGCCCCCCTCCCTTTATTTCTGATGGAGTCTGAAAGTAAGGATATGACCTAACCTCAAACATATCTTATCAGCCTCTTAATTCACAATTATCTGCTAATATTATAGGCATGAGAGTAATTCAATGTTTAATTTAAAATGTTATGATGTTTATATAGTTCTTGTTTTATGGTCAAATACATAAAAATAAATCAAGAATGTGCCACTGAATATAGTGAAATGTGTCATTATGTTAAGTGACTCTTCCTAAATATTCATACCTGGAGAGGCCACGTTTAATAGAGCCCTTATTTTACCTATCTGTTTTAAAAAGTTAAGTGTTCATAGCAGTTGGTTGTGAAGAGAGAAAATACTCAAAACCACAGAACAAGTGAGGGTCAAATGGGTCAACAAAACTCAGGCCTCTCACTCTGTCTCCTGCGCGTGCCCCTGCCCCTCGGACATCTTCAGAGGTGGATGAAAGTCTAGTGGAGCCTCTACCCATCCTCAGTCTCCTCTGCTGGATCCTCCTGTTTGCTTCCTGCTGTAAATGCTGGTCCTCTCTTCCCACCCTCTCTCTGGAAGATCTCAGCCACTCCCATTACTTCCATGGTCACCCACCACCGAGGACTCCCAAAATTGCATCTCCAGACCCAAGATCTCCTTTAATTCCTATATTCTAATGTCTACTGGACATCTCACAAGCATCTCATGATCTTCCCTCATGATCTTTCCCCAAACCTGTTCTTCCTTTTCAGCCCTTCTCTCTATGCAAATGGAACTTCTATTAGTCCAGTTGTTCAGCACACAATTTTGAGGGTAACCTTTGAATTCTCCATCTCCCCCATACTTATGCAATCCATTGCCAAGTCCTACAGTGAACTCCTACTCCAAAACCTATCCCAGGTCGATCCACTTCTTATCATCTCTTCCTGGACTACCTTAGTCCAAACCACCATCATTGCTTATATGCCTTTAGAGCTGACAACTATAGCTCTTAAGCTATAAGAGCTTACAACTATGTATATGTGTATTTGTTTAATGTCTGTCTCTCCTTTATACTTTAGGCCCCATGAAGGCAATGCCTGTGTCTGTTGTAAAACTACAATAACCTCTATCTTAGTAGAAACTAACAATAGTCCTTCCATAAATGAAATTACAGAAAGAAGAGAGGACTAAACAATCTCCTTTTTTGGTGAGTTTTCCGAGAAGTGGCGTTTCCCATGTTGAATTAGTTGAAAGCCATCAACCATATTAAAGTTAAATTTTAACTAAATATTGATAAAATGAATTATATTCTTATATTCCATAGATATAGGATTAATTCAATTGAATCGATGCAAAATTTGAGATGAAAATGCCACTGCAAGGGAAAATACTTCCTCTTAGATATCTGATCTGCTGGAGAACAAGCCCAGTTGCTTCCATGCACCAACCCCCATGTGCACTGGCTGAGACAGCCACGATACCCAATCAACAACCATGCCAATGAAAACCATGCAGATCAGATCCTTGGCACATGCAGTCTTTCATGAATGTGCCTGAAGCTAGGATCCTTAATATGCATATAATCTCTTCCCACTTCCCTGCAGCCCATAAACATGTCTAGGAGGCCACTGTGTCTCCTACCATCTGATCCACATACTAATGCACATAACAATCTTTAAGTCAGACTCAGCCATAGTAGAATGTCTTGGGCAAGTATGACCTGAATGAAGATGCAAAGACTGTACACCAGAGATAAGAGGGAAAAAACTGCACAGTCTTATTTTGGGAGGAAATTCCATGGACATTTTGGCATCATTCACAAAACCAAAGAAGACTATTAACAGAACCAATTTTTTTTAATGTTTATTTATATTTGAGAGAGAGAGACAGAACATGAGAATGAGCAGGGGAAGGGCAGAGAGACCGAGAGAATCTGAGGCAGGCTCCAGGCTCTGAGCTGTCAGCACAGAGCCAGACGTGGAGATGGAACCTATAAGCCATGAGATCATGACCTGAGCCACAACCAATGGAGCCACCCAGGCGCCCCATAGAACTTATTTTAATAAGGTTGCCCATTCAAATCCTTCATCTAGTGGTTCTTCCCCCTCCAGTCAGCAGTTCCAAATTATCTACTCATTGATCCAACAAATTTTCATCAAGGGCCAGCCAACTGGATGTGAGGCTTGCGCCACACTGTGGGGATGCCATGGTAGGTAAATTAAAACACCGTCCCAGCCTTCAATGGGACCAAAGTTTGGTAAAGGAGACAGTTGATGAGCAATTACAAGGCAGCATGAAAAGTGCCACAGGGGGGTGTTGTCTGAACAACCAAGAAATAGAGTTCATTGAGAACTAGAGGGAGCAGGGAAACCCAGCAGAGACAAGTGGACTTGATCCAGTCTGGAGGGGAAGGAAGCCAGAGCCACACATGCAAGTGTTCAGGGACAGTAGGGAACATGGCAACCCTTTAAGTGGCCGATGGAACTACTGGTCAAAGGCAGAAAGAAAAAAGAAAAAAAAAAAAAAAAAGACAGACTAGGGGAAATAAGAAAGGAAGAGGAAAAGCTAGATAATGAAATTAAAAAGACAATCAGGATTTTAAATTAACCCATCCAGTTGTAGAAGGAAAAAAGTTGTGTATGTCCAGAGAGGCCTGAGTGCTCCATTAGGTCCCTGTGTCATGTGTGAAAGAAAATATATATTGTTTCCTAGCCATCAATTTTAGTAGGCAAGAGTCAGTAAAGTACCTAGAACGTTGCTTTTCAAACTGCAGATTATAATCCACTGGGGAAAATGAAATAAATTTAGTGGATGGACATCAACATTAAAAAAAAAAAAAAAGAAATACATTGGTACATGATAAGACAGAATAGTATAGGATACATGAGAACAAACAAATAGAATAGATCATAAAGCACTGCTCACAGGAAGGGCAAGTATTATTTCATGGGTACCCATGCATGTGATCAATTACAATTGCTTGATAACCACCCACCAAGAAGTGGGTCCAGTGACGATTCCAATCAAGTCTTGGCATCCCTTTGAAATCTTTCTTAAATATTTAGGGCTTACTAAAGCTCCTGGACCCTGGCCAAAAAGGTAAAATTCTTGCTCTTTGCTGTTAAGTGAACTTGGACGCTGGGAGAATGCCTTTGAAGAGCTGGGCTCTGTGCCAAAGGTGGGGAGGAGGGGCCTCATAGTGGTCATTCACCTTGGAGGGAGGGTCAGGGAGGGAAGCCTATCACACACAGCCACCAGGGTTTCCATGACAGTCTTGTGTATGTCACATATACCAAAAATCCAGAGGCTAGGAGGATCTGGTTGTTTAAACGCGCCCATGCACTAAAGCATCTTTTCCCTGTAACTGTCCCAGAAACTTCTCTCTACAGTCAACCACTGTCTCTCCAGGGGCCAGACACAGAAGATTTGAGACTGGATGATAAGAGCCAAGCCATTGGTGTTTAGAGCCAGTTTCTAGACAGTGGTTCTATTTCTGAGGGCTTCGGTGAATCAGGTAACATCTTTAAGAAAGGAGTTCATGACTTTTTGCTTCACTTTATATTAACTAATCCGTTCTAGGCAGTGAACATTTGTTTATTATAAAATTTAAGTCCCATGTGCCACTCTTCACCAGCCAGGACATGCACAAATATCTGAGGAAAAAGAATTCATCTCCATGGATGGTGTCAGGCTCTGGGCACGGGTAGGCAGTTGGGCTAAGTTGTGGTCATGATACTAATAAAGATTTCTGGGGCTTTATATCTGTAAATATTTTAAAGTCACACCAATCGTGCCATTTGTTGCCTGCCACGTAGGCCAAAGTTAGCGATGGCAGTTGTACCAAGTGTGTGCATGACAGGGGCGGGGCCAGGTGCTGTGAGAATGTGGCAATGTGACACTGAAGGTTTGAAGAAGTAATTACTAGAATATGTGGACAACACACCCTCCTGGTAAAGCCACTTGCGGTTGAGGGACAAACAAGCGAACAGGAAAGCACCCCTCAGAAACTAAAACTTACCAGAGAGGCAAACTAGACTGTGAACTCGAAGGGGAGCTCTGTTGATATTTTGCTAAGTGTGATGTCCAGTGTTGACAATTATATGAAAGACTGAGTATTGCAGTGCAGAAATTTCGAGACCGTTTATTTCATCAGGAACTCCTGGGAGCAGAGGTTGGCAAACTTTTTCTGCGAGCGACCAGACAGTAAATATTTTGGGTCTGTGTGCCGTATGGCCATCTTTCACAGCTCAATTTTTCAGTTGTAGCGTGAAAGCAGACATAGCAAGTAAGGAAACAAATGGACATGACTATGTTCCACTAAAACTTTATTTACAGAATCAGGTTTGGACTGAGAGCTAAAGTCTGCCAACTCCTACCCTAAAGCATTAAATGGCCCTCTGGAAATCAATGAGATTAAAGACTTTGGCAAACCACACAATTGATTCTTGACAGACCTCTATCCAACTTTATAACTTAAAACTATTACACCAACTAAAACTATAAAAAGGCAACGGCAAATTAGCCTCTCTCTTGACCCTCACAAGCATATCCCTCAATATCGTTATTTTATTGTTGTCATTATTGGTATTCCTATTTTCAGCTGAAAATTTCAAGCGATTCAATTGCTTTTCCAAGGGTACACATGCTGTAATAAATAGAATTTATGCACAATCATTTGACTCCATAAGAATCAGAAAATCCAGAATCCAAATTTTTGTTTTGTAGCTAACCAAATTTCCTAGGCAAGGAAGATAAACTTTCTATGTTTCTAACTCGAAACACAGAACAGAAACTTTCAAAATGGTAATGGTGACTAACTTGGGAAGCAGTAGAGAATTTGAGAAAAGAAAGACTTAATTCACTGTTATGACAACTACAAAGAAATCAGAGTCCTTGTGTTTCCATTTCCTCACATCTCTCTTTCTCCTCCTTCTCTCTCTCTCTCTGTCTCTCTGTCTCTCTCTGTCTCTCTCTGTCTCTCTCTCTCTCTCTCACACACACACACACACACACACACACACACACACACACTCTGAGTCCCCCCAAAACTCTGGAAATAACTGGCAAAATCTAAAATGTAGGACAGGAGTCTTGGAGGAAGCTGCCAGGAAGTCTTGGAGTGCCAGGCCTAACCACCCTAGGTAATTGATGCCTTCTAATCTCACAGAATCTCCTTCACCAGCTTCCCCCAAAATACTGAGCAGGAACCTCTGTTTATCCTCTACCCTGATTTCAACTGCGATGGAGCGGAGGTCCAGACCCACTTTGTCATATGAGATGAATGGCTTGCCTGGCTTTCACAACCTTTAACAAGAGACCGGGCTGGGACTGCTGTTAGATTGTGGTGTTGTCACTGGATCCTTCTGCGGGTCCTGTGGGTGTGGCTGGCAGCAAACCACTCATAAATGGATGCTCTGTGCCCCACGGACAGAAATGGCCAGTCACTGTCCATGTGCAGGAACACACATTCTCAACCACTTTGCTGAAACACTTCATAAACCCACCCCATGTAATGATTTTATGAGACCTGGCACACAGCAGTTCATAATCTGAGCCTGGAAACAGGTAGCAACAGGTGTGAGAAAACAGCTCTGGTCTTTACTTTGTATCCCCTACGGCATGCTCTCATTACATAACATCATGTGCCCTGAGAGGAGTACCTTCCTACTTTTAAACTTCAAAGGCTCATGTATAAATCCCTAATATTTATCTCAATAAATGTTATTGCTATTTGTTTCCACCTTTGGTGACAGGTAATAACATATTGGTCAACCATTACAATGATCTTATATAGAGAACTGTAGACTTTTTACTGGTGATGTGATACAATTCTTGTCCATAGTTGAATAAAGATTTTTAAAATTCTTCAAGTTTGCCTCACTAACTCACCTTTAAAATGATACTATTGTAAGTGAATTCTGTTCAGTCAACCTGCAAACTCCAGTGTCTGCCATTAATTAAAACAGGCTAATTGTAATGCCAAGGGGACCAGTAGAAAGAAATCAGGGTCCTTTGCATCTTATCCCTGATTTTTGTCCCTATTCATGCCTCCTCTAACCCCAAAATTTCTCAACTTCTCATAGGAAAAGAAAAATTGGGGGGAAAAAAAGGTGGGGGAGAGGAGGGGAAATGAGAAGAAAAGAAGTATAGAAAAATTGTTTTTCTTCATTTCAGAAATAGGAAAAAAAAAAAAACAAACAAACAGGAAGCCTCTAGCTATGGCCTGAAATGCCACCTCAATTCAACACTTCAGATTAAACACTGTGGGCACTAGGAAATTACTAACATTTTCCCTGCCTCCTTCCAACAGTCCATGCTCTGTGATGGCTGGAGATACTTGGAAAGAGCTTTGGGGCAGGCAGAGCAACTAACTACAGGAGGCTTTCCAGGAGAGATGATGCTCCAACTCCTTCTGGAACAAGGAAGGAGAGAAGCCAGTGAGGTTGACTGAGCTGGAGGGAAGGGCTTGGGCACAGAGAATCTCATGCACTACGGTCCTTGGGGCTCCAGCTTCTCTCTGGATGGCCCAGACAACCAGCCTTATCCCATCTTTGCACCTCTGGGGAACATTCTAAGACTGGAGGGCTTGTACCTAGAAACTGTCACAGGTAGAGCTTTTTATCTATTTGCTGGTGTTCCAGGCAGCATCACCTATGGCAACACTACCAAGTTCAGACAGGAAAACATAATCTGATTATTTCTCAAAGAATAAAGGAGGAAATCTGTGTTTGCTTTGGAGCAAACCCAGACCCCATATTCTGTCACAAAACATGAAAGAATAGCACACTTCCCTAGTGTGAAACTGAGGTTTTCAGTCCGCTCTATACGGATCTCCAAGCACTTTTCAGCCAAACAAAAGACTTCACATCTCTTTTCTAAGATAAACTTCCAGAATAGTTTTACTTCATCCCTGTCAAGGAATAAATGCAACTTGATTTATCAATATAAATATAAGCTTCTCTTCAAATATGTTAGGATTGAAAACTCTACCATAGACTTTGGATCAAAATCTTCCAGCTACAATTTTGATTAAATGCAAGGTTTCCTGTTGTAGTTCCGTTCTAACCGCAGATGTCAGGGCCTCACAAATTAAAAAGTCCTTTTCCGTCCCCTCCTCTTGTGTCGTGCCGTTTGGGGGCCCCATGAGAAGCCCACTCCCTAGTCCATCTTTATCGAATGCAAAAATACTAGCAGAGATATCCAGGCTATAAATTATTATAGAAGACAACATTTACAGTACAGAGACCTTCTAAAGCTCAGCTGTACCCAGCTTTGGCTTTTTTTGGAGAACTTTTGATTCTGAATAAGTTTATCAAGTACTCAAAAGCTCCAAACATTACTAAAAACAATAACAACAAGCTCAAGCCTCTCACCATTGTTGCTAGAAGTTGCCAAATATCATTGATAATAATGAAAATATCATCAACAGGGAGCATCTAACATGTAGCAGACTTTTGGGGGGGAATGCAACTGGTCATCAGGGTTTTAGATCATTTGCTGTTAAAAAAAAAAAGTAGGGGGCGCCTGGGTGGCTCAGTCAGTTAAGTATCCACTTCAGCTGAGGTCATGATCTTGCAGTCTGTGAGTTCGAGCCCCGTGTCAGGCTCTGGGCTGATGGCTCAGAGCCTGGAGCCTGCTTCGGATTCTGTGTCTCCCTCTCTCTCTGCCCCTTCCCCGTTCATGCTCTGTCTCTCTCCGTCCCAAAAATAAATAAAAACGTTGAAAAAAAAATAAAAAAAAAAAAAGTAGAAAACACTAGCTTGTAAATATCCATTCATTCATTCACACATATTTATTCATGTCATTACGCCTGGGGGATAGAAAGCCCAGATGCAAGCATTAAGTGTATTCATTCAGTGCATAAGTTATCTTTTATAAGCATGGCTTTGTTCTGCAATTGGCAGGCATTTTTCACACACAGTAAAGAACAAAGCTGATTTTCCTATATCCAATATGTCGGCCAGTGAGATAGAGGCTGCCATTCACTGTCATCCTCATCGCAAAATTACTCTACAACAACCCTGAAGAGAATAGAGAAGGACAGGGGAGTTTACAATGCCTTCAGGGAAGCAAGAGAAGGCTACAGTTTTACCAAGCAAGTCATTGTCTCGCTTCCAGAAACCCAGATGCTGGAGGCAAAGCTGTTCCTCTGAAGGCAGATAAATGCTCACACAGACAGCCCTCAGGCTCTGGGGGTTGTCATCCATTTTAGGGTGTCTGAGAATACTCTAGAATAACCCAGCATGCATAAGAATGCCACTTACCTCCTCCCACTGCAGTTCTGCCACCTGCACTGATGGGCTCAGGTTCCTCCTGCCTCCTCCCTCCTGACTCCTCACTCCTCCCACCTCACCTCTGCCAAGGTCCAGGGAAAGTTCTCCAGAATTCCCACTGGCTCAACCCCTGAGGGAGAGGCCGGTGACTACAGCAGCAGTAGTGACAGCAATGCACGGAAGTCCCTCTCCCCTCCCAGACGGCACTAGTACGAAAATCATGGAGGGGACACCAAAGAGGCATACCAACTAGGCTTCCCTGTCTAGCTCAGGAAGGCATACGGCAGCCCCCTGCTCAGCAGGAAGCCTAGGGTGGTGCCATAGTGTCTGTTATTCATCCTACTATTTGTTCATGAGCAAGTAAACCACAGAAAGAAAACATCCCCATCTAAACTGTATGTACCTGGATGTTGGGCAGGTTATCAGTCAAGAGCCAAGAATCAGAGCCAGCAGAATAGAACACAAAGAAGGGATGCACATGAGGGTAAGCCAGAGCCAAGAGGGGCCAAGCACCAGGTGCAGGACTCAGACAGTCCTGGCCTCTGCCCAGGACTGAGACCATTCCGAGGGCACTCACTATCTGGAGTTCAAATGGTGTCCCTGGAAGATGAAACGACTCAAGTCCCAGATCCCAAGATAAGCTTGCAACACATGGATGGTTTTTGCCAACGACAGATGGCAATGTGCGACTCTGGAGAAACACTGATGACCCAATACACAGCAGAGACCATATACTCCGAACCAGACGTCAGGATATGTCTTCTGGGAAGCACACTTTTGGTGGCAGAATACAGAAGGGTGTGGTGTACTGGAAATTCCAGCTCCTCACCTTGTACCCATGTGACCTTTGGCAAGCTCTCTAAGTCTTGCTTTGCTTATTTGAAAAATGGGGAGGATTTTAGCAATGGGGAAAAACGGGGAGGATTAATGGTTGAGAGGATTATAGGTAGCATATGCAAAGTACTTAGTATATAGTAGGCATTTAATAAATGTGTTGTTAACGTAATAACAGATTGAGGCAGTCCTGGAAAATCTGTATCTATAATGAGAACTGTACCTATAATACTCTTCTATCTACATGTTACCCCACTACTCAAGGTCCATGTCAAGTCTCCCCATTTTCACCATCTTCTATATGAGCATGCACCCATATTGATTTCTTTCATTCTTGATAATATGTTTTCAACATATATTTTACTGAATGTTCTACCTTTTAGATACAATTTTACCTTGTCAGTTCTAAGTCCCTCCTATAAGATCTTTTCCTGAGCACAGAAAGCAAGCCATGCTACTTTAAAATCCCAAAGATTTAATATAACATAAGAGACCTGGTAAGCATTTGAAAAATATATGTACTTAATTAATTGTGGTCCAAGCAGTATTTTTGGTTGGCCGTGACTATAAACATCCTTCATATCCATCTGTACATTTCCTAAATTATTTTTGAAAGAAGACTTTTCATGTTTGCATTGCACCATGATCTATATGGAAAATAAAAATCCTATCCACCTCGCAAAATTATTGTCACTTTGCTTTTGTCATTAAATACAGCTATGGCCCTGTGACAGTGGAACATGGAGATGTCGTGTCTGTGTGCTGAAATAAGGAGACATCCCTGCTTGTGTTCAATAAAGTCAGCCAGCATCACCGATTTATGGAACCACTTCTGTTCTCTATTTCCATTTATTTGGGCTGGGGATACCCAGTCTCCATCTTACTGGATGCCCTGGTCCATGGGGTAAGTTCCAGGTTAGAAAGGGTAAGCATGGCAAAATACACTAAGTTATCTGAAGGTCACTAGTCTTTTATAGAAACAACATCCCCTGTATCCCCTCACCCCCTCACCACAAACACACTCACCCCTATGGATACAGAAGAGTCAGACCCATTGCCAAGGCTAGACTTAGGGTATAAGTATGAGTACATCCCTTTTCCTCATTCCCTCCCATTCAAATGCCCAATGCCCTCCAAATCTCCCTTAGGTTTTGACCCCTTCCCCAGTAACAAAACCTGTTCTTACCTCAAAAGCAGTGATATTTGCCATTACTTCTTAATCTGAACCTTTATCAGAATCACTTTCCCAAAGAAACCCGTACTTGGATATCCCTCTAATCTTGGCGGAAAGAGTTTTTCCCTTAAGAGATTTTTTTTTTTAACGTTTATTTATTTTTGAGACAAAGAGAGACAAAGCATGAACGGGGGAGGGTCAGAGAGAGGGAGACACAGAATCTGAAACAGGCTCCAGGCTCTGAGCTGTCAGCACAGAGTCCGACGTGGGGCTTGAACTCACGGACCGTGAGATCATGACCTGAGCCAAAGTCGGCCGCTTAACCGACTGAGCCACCCAGGTGCCCCGATCCCTTAAGAGATTTCAACATCAGAAGCAGGTGGAAGAGTTTTGAAGGTAACACCTCTCCAGATTCTAACGTATTAACTAGTACAATGGTTTTAAAGCTGTGGGAAAAGATGAGATTTGAAAACATACATTTAATTCTCACCCCCTCATCCCATCCCCCATATAATGTTAATGGAAATTCTGTAAGAAATTGTAATGATAAAAAGTACATCATTGATGGCAGGGAAGAGAGTTATGTAAGTACCAGAAGTGCCAGGGAAAGATAAACAGGGTTCACTTGCAAATCACTATCACAAGGAGCAGTGACTCAGAGGGAGTAAGTGATGGGACCCTGCACTCCCCTCCTGGACATGAAAATAGAAGAAAGAAGTGGAGGAAGAGAATCAGGGGACATGACCAGCGGAGAATGGCTTCACAGGGACCCTCTTTTGCTGCTGCAGACTGGTGGAACTGGAAAGCAGCGTTCCAGTGGAACCTAGAAATTCAGATGGATACAAGGGCAGAAAGCCCCTAGAAGGAGATTTCCTGAGATGAGAAGACATGTTAGAGTGAGGAACTTCATGAAAAAAAAGGTCTTAAAAACCAGGGGTACCAGAAGTTACACCAAGATACCACTGGCAAAGTGTTCGAAGAGTGAATTCCCAGGGTGGCTTTGTTATAAACTGGTGAATAAAACAGGGTTCTTCTACTCAAAAATGGATTGGATACTTGGCCACAGAGGATCCCACACCTACCTCAAGGCTTTGAAAAACAACCACCACCACAAGAAAAAAATACAAAACAAATAAATCAAAACAGAGACAGGACAGCACAGAAATGAGTCTTCCCTAGCAGGCTTGTCCATGACTCTGAATCTCATCGTCTGCCCTGACATTTTCCTTGCTGAATTAGCAAATATGAAGATTGATGACATTTCTAAAGGGATCCAAAAATCCAAGAATGGTCAAGACCTCCTCACAGAACATTAAAAGAATGTAACTGAGAGACATGAAAGAAAGTCTAAATGGCAGGACTTATTATGCTTATGGATGGAAAACTAAATATTGGAAATATGTCAATTCCTCAAAATTTTTTCATAGATTTTTTTTTTTTTTTTTGCTATTCAACCAAAATCCAGTAACTTATGTGTATGTATCTGTAAACTGATGGGCTGATTTTTTTTAATTTTTTAGACATTTTTAAATCAAGTATAATTAACATACAGTATTGTATTAGTTTCATATGTACAATATAATGATTCCAACAATTCTGTATATTACTTAGTGCTCATTATAAGTGTATTTAGTCCTTTTACCAATTCCACTCATCCCTCCACCTGCCTCCCCTTCAGCAACCAACCACCAGTTTGTTCTTTATATTTGAGTCTGGTGTTTGGTTTCTCTCTCTCTCTTTAATTCATTTATTTTGTTTTTTAAATTCCACATATGAATGAAAGAAATCATGTGGTATTTGTCTTCCTCTGACTTATTTCACTTAGCATTATATCTTGTAGCTCCATCCATGTTGTTGCAAAGGGCAAGATTTCATTCTTTCTTATGGCTGAGTAGTTAGTATTCCATAGTATGTATGTTTATATATAAACCACATCTTTTTATCCATTTATCTATTGATGGACACTTGGATGGCTTCCATAACTTGGTTATTATAAATAATACTGAAATAAACACAGGGGCACATAATATCTCTTTTATTTGGGTAAATACCCAGTAGCAGAATTACTGGACCATATGGTACTTTCATCTTTAATTTTGGGGAGAATGTCCATACTGTTTTCCACAGTGACTGCACCAGCTAGCATTCCTACCAACAGTACATGTGTTTCCTTTTTCTCCACATCCTTGCCAACACTTGTTATTTTTTTTGTATTTGATTTTAGCTATTCTGACAGGTGTGAGGTGGTATCTCAATGAGCTTTTGATTTCCATTTCCCTGATGATTAGTGATAAAGAGCATCTTTTCATGTGCCTGTTGACCATCTATATGTCTTCTTTGGAAAAATGTCTATTCATGTCCTCTGCCCATATTTTTTTTATTATTTTTTTAAGATGTATATCCAAGTTAGTTAACATGTAGTGTAATAATGATTTCAGGAATAGAATTTAGTAATTGATCACTTACATATAACACCCAGTGCTCATCCCCACAAGTGTCCTCCTTAATTCCCCTTGACTGATGGGCTAATTCTAAAATTTATATACAAATATAAAAATTTATATACATAAAAGAAGACAACCTTGAAATATAAAAACAAAGTTGGAGCCTTCCATTAGGAGATGCCAAACTTAGAAAGCTATAGAAATTAAGAGTGGTATTAGTGGAAGGACAGACTAACAGGCCAATAGAGCAGAATAGAGAAGCTAGAAACAGATCAACCAATTTGATTTTTATTTAAAACAAAGACACCACTAAGTAGGGGAAGAGGGAGGGAATACGGATAGCCACACTTCTTTTAAACAAATGAAGTTTGACCTATGCTTCACAGCCTTCACAAAAATAGATTCCAGATGGATTATAGTTCTTAAGGGAAATGATTTAACACTAAAACTTCTAGAAGATAACAATGGGGAATATCTTCGTTAACTAGATTTAGACAAAAATTTCTTGAACAGATAACAAAAAGCATTAGCCGTAAAGGAAAAGATTGATAAACTGATTCCATTAAAATTAAGAACTTTCTGGTCATCAAAGGGACACCTTCAAGAGAGTGAAAACATAAGCCAGAAACT